TGGAGGATGGATTTTAAGCAGGTTTGTGTGATTTTATGTAGTCAAAAGATGACACGGGTGTCACATCACTGGACAAGTCACGGCCTTCAAATATCACCAACCCCTCATACGAAAGTTCTTCTACACTGACTCCACCAGAACCTACTTATGAACTTTTCTCAGTAAGTGTTTGTTTTGATTTGAAATTGAGATACATGAGGGTAAAATCAGGGTAAGCAGGAATTACTTTATAAAATGAAAGTGTCTGGTTGAAAGCTGGGAAGACATTTATGTTCTGTTTTCCTATCTCACTGCTGCTAGGAATGGCGTAGTCCTACCTGTACAAAAATAAGGCTAGAGGCTACAGCTCTATCTCAAGTTATATATTTATATATATATATACACACACACTTTATAATATATTTATATATATATATATAGTGTGTGTATATATATATATACACACATATATATAAAATGAGGCTGTAGCCTACCTGCAAATCTCTTTTTCAGTCCTTTAAAGAGTTATGAATGAAATGGCACTTCAAATGCTGCTGAGTGCCAGTGACTTGTCTATGCAAGGGAGCGAAAATGAGGGGAAGTGTCCAAGTAAAATGAGAATATCTGGACAGCTTTGATGCTGTCATTTAGCAAGAACTGTGTAGAGTCTAAAGAACATAACAAGCCTTCTGAATACACTTTTTCTTGAACAATACTTTGAACTCTGATTCTTTTCTTCTTTTATTTTGTAGGATTCAGATGACCAGCAGCTTGTGATGAGTGGTCCTTATGATCAGAATTAAAGTTTGAATTTAGGATTAGTCAATTATAAAACACGTTTTATTTAGATTTACTGTGAGCAAATAGCACCTACATATTTTATGGAATAAGATCTCTTGTTACAAATTTTAAAAAAGCAAAAGAGCCTGACTTGGTTATATATGCAGTCTGTAGATTTCTCAGCATTACCAACATCAGAAGAGTTGGCTGTATGTAAGAAACACCCACTGTGAGTACCAATGCACAATTAAGTCCCAGCTAACACCCCAAGAAGCGAGGAGAAACTTATTTCACTGGCAAAAGCATAAGACTTGCCTTAGCATGTATTTTATGTCATTTCTGGGCAAAATTTAAGATGGCCTCAAACACACAGGAGTGCTAATTTTGCAAATACTGTGAAGTTAAGTAGTGCTCTGGCTCTGTACCTTCATTTTGGCTTGCTTACAACTACAGCTGGAGAGCATGAAACAGACCGTGCTAACTGGCACCAGTGACCTGTATTTTTAAGTTGTGCGTGCGGTTTTGTTAGTGCACATTTTTGGGTGAGAGTTGCAGCATCAGGAAATGAGAACACCCTGTTTGTTTTACTTGCTTGCCCTGGCTTTTCAGTCCTTCCTCCAACTTTGCTGTGTTTTGTTTACATCTCAAGTGACTGTACAATGGGAAACGGCTACAACATCAGCAAGAAAAAAAGTCACATGTATGAAAAAAATCTCATTGGAGGCATTTTTGGTAGAAGTGGACAGTGAAGAAGAAAGTACTCGCCACTTCAGGTTCCACATTCAGTTTTTTAGGCTGGGAAGAGCAAAAGCTACGGATCTGTTTAAGCACCACATTCCTGCCAAGCACATCGTTGCTGCCCTCCAGCCAACACGCCGCACTGGCTGCTGCTGTTTTCGCCCTGCTATTACTGAATCAGACTTGCATTTGATTCTCTTTCATTCCCTCCCCTCAAAGCTTTAACATCACATCAAATTGTGAGAATACCATAGGGACCACAAAACAGCAAGAAGGGGAAGATTTTATAGCCAGCAGCAGTAACCTGGTGTTTACGACGGGAGATGGAGGGAGAGGGGCTTTCATGGTAAAAAAGCCTGAAGTCCGTATGTCTCCATATGTCCCCAGGTGCCTCACATCAGAATAAGGTCCCTGCAGATCACACAAAGCCATTTTATCAGGCACAAGCAAGGCATTTTAACGCGAAAACATCCCTAAAGAAACAGGCTGATGGCATTTCCCTAAGACCTCCCCTTCCCCTCCACGAAAATGCCTTTTTTAGTTTTTCTTGAAGATAGTAGAATTCAGCAAGCGAACACAGGCACGTATTTAGGGCACACGTATTTAGGGCAGTTTTTGCCCACAGAATTTTGCAGTTAATGCAACTCTTGTTCTCCCCCCTCTCCCAAATCACCCACAGAAATTAAGGCTCATAAGAACCACGGGATGAAGTCCAAGCATTTATTTTTGTAATAATCATTAAATATTTTTTATCACAAAAAGTTTCAATAGTTCATTAAACTCTTCTTTTACTGACAAACTATTGTCTTCTGAGTTTCCTTACTCTGGTGTTCAAATGAAATATACCCCCAAAATTAATATGAAGAGGCACTGCCCTTTAAATATGCTGAAAAATCCATCTGAAGTCAGTAAGACAGCATTACAGTACTTAATGCAGACAGCAGAGGTGTACAGCTCAACTCCAACATTACAAAGAAAGCCCAAACATTTTAAAATGTTAGAGTAAGAGGAGCAATCTATCACTGAAAAATAAATAAGAATACACTTTAAAATTCTCACTTACATTCATATTGTATATAATTTTTCCTAAGCAACAATCTTCCAATAACTGATTTTTTCATGCAATGTTATTTACTTCAAGAAGTCATGCAATACAAGCAGGGTTGTACTTGAGCTAGCTGTTCTCGCACAGCTTTGTACAGCGGTCGGCGATAAATTCTGGCTGATTTATCAGTTAAAAAGCAGAGAGGGCAGGACAGAAGGAAATCATCCGGACTCCCACAGCACGTGGATAGCATCATCCAACCCAGTTAGACCGTTCCTGCTTAACGCAGGACGAGCAGGCAGGGTTGGAGAGCAGGGACGTCGCAGAGCCCGAATCCACGAAACGCTGCCGCGTGCAGCAGCGCAGCCCGGGGCCGCCGAGCGCCGGCACGAGGACAAAGAGCAAACAGGGACTTTTTTGCTCCGTTTCTGAGCAGTGCACTGAGAGCTCTGGAGCAGAAAGGTGCTACCCTCGGTAACACCAAGTTCTGGCCTGGCTGAGCACTACGATGAGGAACTGAAGGCAAACCAGGGGTACTTCCACCCCCAAATTTCAGCTCAGGCCTTAGCAAGTTACGCTAAATACTTTGTACAGTCCCACCAAGCACTCCCCAGATAAAGCCGTACCAACTTCTTGCAAGTTTTAATCCCCCCAGCAGCCCAGCAGGGCTGTCACATGAACTTACTCCTTTCAAGTATGTTCATCTGCCTGATCACCCGCACACACCTCGGAGAGCTGCATGTCAGGTTTGAACTCCAACTGCAAGAAAACTACACAAAAAATTGCAATAACCTTGGAGGACTTCAGACTGATTTCAAGCATACAGGAAAACTGCTTATGAAATTGTGCAGATTAAAGTACATTCTTTACCTTGCAAGCATGCTTTTAAAAATACGAAAGATATTGCCTATGAAATTCAATACAGATCTGTGCACACAAATACCGACAGGTTAAAAAATGCAAACAAAGAAGAAAACTTTTGGTCAGCAAAAGTTTGTTTACCTGACAGTCACTGTAGGAAGCAAGTTATGCCCTAAAAGGAAATGAAGAATAGCACATGCTATTTTGTTAATTATAGGCTTTCGAAAATAGAGCCTTTAATAACTAGAATTTGAAAACGATTAATCAAATCATGTATTCTAAAATGGCCGGGGTGGAAAGCACCAGTTTAAAAAGAAAAACTCTGCTTCCTTTCAACACTGAGAAAGGAAAGCATCTTTGTTTAAAAATAAGTATATAGCAGTTCCATAAAGTGCCTGTTGGAGGAAACACAACAAGTGTTTTCCTTGTGCAAAAAAGACAATTATCAGCTCAACTCTTTGGAACGTTATCAGGCTGCACAAAACTTGTGTTCCTGCATTTCCTATAATCAGAGTAATTCAATAAAGCCTCTAATCTGCACAGACAAAACTGTTTTGCTTGATGCAAAACATCTACCACTCCAATTCAGCTATGAGGGTTTGAGCAAGAAAAATCAGAGTAAGAAATTGCAGAATCCCAGTTTGCATCTTCTCATGTGTTTTTTTCAACTCGTTTGTCCATTGTGCGTGTTCATTTTAAAATGTAAAAAAATTCCTGAAGGCTGTATGAAAATACCCTCTATCCCAGGGAATGGCAAAGCTGCATTGCATACCATTCTAAGACACTGTTTGAAAAACAAAAATTAAAGCAGCGTTTAGGATAATTGTCCCTCTAAAGCCTGACAGATTTCAGCCTCAGCTTCCAAACGCACAGTGCGAGACCTCTTGAAATGGCTTCATTCTCAGAGAGTAGGTACTTTAAAGAGTCTTGGAAACTAAAAAGAAAGGTGTCTAAAGGTCAACACGAGGAAGAGGAAGCATCCCAGCTTTCTAGCCACGCTTTCAGAATTAAGCTCACGTCCATCTAAAGCCGAGCAGAGACAGCAAAGGTGCAGAAGGGAACACAGCTCGAGCCTGCCTGTGCTGCCGGCACCGCAGCGCAGCGGGGATGCCCTCAAATCTGGGCCCACCCAGGCCGGGTACCAGCGACACCCTCGCCGGAGCAGCGCCCGCACCAGCGCTCTCCGTGCCACCGTGCGCGTAGCTGCATCTCTCTGCTTAAGACTATCGCTGCCTTTGAGTCTCGTAACGCAGAGCTCCGTCTGAGCGGGGCCAGGAGGGAGCACATCCGTGTTTTTTGTAAGCCACAAGGCTTTTTGTAGGACGGAGTCTCCAACGAACAAGCGAGCAAGAACAAACGCGTAACACACGGCCGGCCTTCCCTCCCAGGCCGCTGCTGCTTTGGCAGTCTGGCATCTCTTCTGTTTGTAAGAAGAGCTCGTGGGAAAGGCAAAACCAGCTCTGAGAACAAGTATGAGGTGCATCTACGTCAAGATAATAGATTTAAGTGACTTAAGGAAAATACAGCCAGATTCAGGAAAAAAAGGAAAAATGCCTATGCATATCTTTGCCCATTTTGGAGCAAATAAGCCAAGTGCTCATTTGATCTGAACTGTCTCTTGGAGGAAGGGAACTCTGAACGCGCCAGCGCACGGCTGGTCGGACCAGGCTGGCAGTTCGTGCTGCAGAGGAGTCCGTCGGGGGTAAAACGTGTAATCCAGCTCATAGTTCAAGAGGCAACTCAGCGATGCCATGTAGATGTCAGCAAATCTAGACAGGCGTCGTAGGAAGTAAGTTGGATTCTCATCGGTTCTGAATAAGCTTCCAAACTGTGCGTTGAAGAAATTCTTGTTCATTTCCCTGTCCCCCAAAAGAGAAAACAGAAGGAGAATGAAGGGAAAAGATCTGTACACATTCTCTACCAGAATCCAAAGCAGATTCTGAAGTTCCAGAATCTGAAGTTCCTTTAATCAATTCATTATTTTATCTGTGAGTTATTCTCTTGCCATTGAACTCCAAATCACCTAAACACATCATTTAAGTTTTCTACATGTAGCCCAGTCTATTTATTGCAGTGAACAGAGAAGCTTCCCATTTCTCCCACTGAAAATAGTGGCAAGCTGCTTCCGACTTTGGAATCATGGTATCTCAGGCTTTCATTTCTAAAGACTGTGAAAAAAAGCTTCCTTCTCCATTTTAATCCAAATTATTATCCATTTGTCCCAGACATATAAGGCTAAAAACATGCAAAGATTTGTCTTAACATACACAAAAAGTTTACACACACCTTGGAATTAACTTTTTTTACTAGTCACTGCCAAGTATCATTCTCATTTTATTTGTTTCTACCTGCTCTCCATGGAGAAGGTTGGTGTTGGCACTGTTGCCATCTTTTCCAACAGTGGCCTTCAGACACTCTGTATTTAGGGAGTGCTCCCTCAATATTTTATGAGTTTTAGTCCTGCCACCTATTCTGTGAGAAACCCACTGCTAAACTCAGTCCCAGTTTTCTATTACTTGTAATAACAGGAAAAAGTCACAAAAAAAAGCAGGGGGTAAAGAAGTGATTTAAGTGATATTTCCTTCATGCAGAAATTAAGCTGTGTAATCAATGGTGACAGCTGAACAAAACAGAGGACAGGAGAACTGAACAGAGAAGGAGTATCATTAGGCCTGACGTTACCCTTTCATGCAGAAAATTAACATCTGCTCTGCAGAAAGAGAAGAGGGAGAGGGGGATCATATGCACGAAGGATCAGAGGGACAAGAGCTGTGCAAGACATAGGTAGAATATTGCTTTATATAATTAATTTTGCAAAGGTGGTAACTACTGAGGAATATAGATCAGGGACAGAGAGAAATTCTAAAGGAAGCTGTGAAAAACATGGGCGAAGACCTGGTTAACCACAATGCACATTGCAAATACTCGATCTCCCATTTCTTACCTCATATCCTTTCTTTCCTTCTTCCATTCTTCTAAAATCATTTGTGAATCAGGATCACGATGAACCTGGAACATAAAATGCAGATGACAAGTAACTAAGGATGCCCTGGCAAGTGAACTTTTCCATTAACAAAACTTCATCAACTGACAGGACAAGAACAACACTTCAAAAATCGTTATATGGGAGTTACCCAGATGTATTTTAAAAAAAAGCAAAGGCCATAATCAATCCAGGGTGATCATCATTTGTGTTTGTTTATCTACAGTCAAACTGGGGAGGCCTAAACAGGGCCAACGTCCAGGATTTGGAAACTTTGCTGTATCCCTTCTGCTACACAGAACCGATCACACACACGCAGGACAAACCTGCATGTGTTCCAGTAATCCAGTCAGGGTTTGTAGCCAGGTCATGGTTTGAATGTACCTCTCTGTGTTCATGATTTTAATCTCTGATCGCAGCTCGGGAATTATCGCACCAGTGCGCCAGCCGTGCTTCAGGGTCAAATCCTGTTTACCAAGAATTACAAAACACAAGTATTAGCCCTCAAAGACACAGGCAGAGTTTGAACACCCTTTATCCCACAGGGTATTAAACTGATTGCTTCTTATGTATGAGCAGAAATATTAAGCAGTGGGACGTGAACGGAGCCAACATGCAGTGGATTTGAGAATAAGCTCCAAATCCCCCACTTTGAGACCGAGAGAACAAAGAACATCCAAACCCTTGCAAGTGAGCCCTGACTCACTAGGTTTAAAAGGGAGAGCAGGAAGTCAGAAGTATCTGCAGGAAACCACACGTTGGGATGCCGCTCTTGCACCCTTACCCTGGGTCTGTCTGGACCAGGAGCTAAGGAAGCTTCTCCTCCCAGGACAACTGAGGCAGCTGCTACCTGTGCTCTTCGCTCCGTCAGCCCAAGGAGGACAGAACTGCCACCCTCCTCCTCAGCTCTCAGTCTGCTGAAGCACCCACACTTCGTTTTTTTTTTTTTAATTCCACTGCATATGCTTAATTACTTTCTTAGCAAGGGAAAGATGTTGACATTTTCCTCCGTTGAAACATGATACCACAGCTTGGAAAAGGCTGATGATCACTCGTGTAAAAGGAAAATCTTGCCAGGCTTTCACAGGCAGTCAATTACAAAAGACTTGAGCAGTGGCAACTTATTTCGAGGTAATAATTAACAGTACTTTTTTTTTTTTTTTTTCTTCTGTAAAGTAGTATGAAAAAACTTGGATAGCTGGGCTAAGAATTATAGTAAGATCTTGGGAAGAAAGTTTATCATTAGTGACAGGAAGATCACCTCCTGTCATTCAAAACAGAAGATGATTCAGCTCTTACTACAGCTGGTAGTAAGTGTCATCCATTTCTGCCACATCCTGTTTGTTAGGATATCCATGTTTGTGCTCCGTTACATCTGGCACAGCCAGTATCTGCTGGAACAAGAACTTGGGCTCAGTGTGTAAACAAGTTAAGCGCTACAAGTAAGGTGGAAAATATGGTCAGCCTTTAGTGGGATCAATTGCTTTAGCTGCGAGAAAAGCACGCTGGCTTAATGACCAACTCAAGCTCTGTCACACTCAGAAATCTCAAATGAGAGAGTATTATATTGAATGGGGGAGGGAGAGGGGAAAAAGAACAAAAATATTTTTATGTTATTTAATGAAAGGTAAACTACTTACTGCCAAGTCACTGTAAATGTGGTCCCCAAAGTACAGAACCTTAGAACCTCTCCAGCCAGTAAGCTTGAGAAACTCATACAAGTTACCCTGCAGAAACAGCATTTTGCACACTATAGCAGCATGTAACTGCACATTCACAGACATCAAAAAGCAGTCAATACACATTTAAAAATATTTTAAGAATATCACTCTTAATTTAAGTATTACTGAAATTGCCTTAGAACCTGTGATTTGTAACATGATTGTGTGTCAACGTGCACTTTAAGAGGCAAATAAACCACACACGTACGTTACCAGCAATGAATCTGCACTATTATTTAATTGTGAAAATAATCCTCTTAAGTAATATCTCTACTCTTAAAACCTTTATGACAGCTAAAGAAGCTTTAGGTTTTAGGGAATAAGTATTAGATTTGAACTGAAATAAAAGCTTAGTGAAGTCATACCTGTTTGTAAATCTGGCCTTTCTGCAATTTGTGAATTTTGTCCCAAAGCAACACTCCTCTTTCATTTACCTTCCGAAAGGGTCTACAACAGAATTGAATAGAATTGTCACATACCTGTAGAAATCCTGTCACTTCTTAGGAGACTGGAATTCTACTATCAAAACTATTCAACTTCTAAATGAAAAACATGCCCTATAACATGTGAACATTTTGTAGAAGCCTGAAAAAGCAAAGCTCCATCAGCTTTAGCCAGGTAAAAAAGCATTTCTATCCAGTATATTGATGGCACCTCTAACAGAGTTTGAGAACAACCGTGGAGAACTAAGACAGAAAGAACAGTGATGATGGTCTGTTGTTAAGAAAGAAGAGAACATGACAAGAACAAAAGGATATTTTGCTCAGGACCTCATTTTATAGGCACAAAGCAGAAGGATTTTACACATCTGAGGAAGGGGAGAAAAAACAGCCATAAATTCTTTCTCAAAAAAATAGGGTAATGAAAAAAAAAAATCTCACCTCTATCCCACCTTATGCACCATATGTCATACATATGCATAAAGGTGTCTTTTCAAATGTCAAAGTAGAGCACACACATCATAAATGTGTTTAATTGAACTGAAGAGGTAGTAGAAAGACTCCAGCCTAGTAGCCAGTCTATTCTTATATAACACTTATAACTAGTCCAAAAGAGAAGTAGTAAATAATGTTTCCAGAAATGGGGACCGATTCTGAAAGGTACCAAAATTTCTCCAAGTAGGAAAGGAATTAACTTCACCAAAATTCAGGCTAACCATGTTAGAAGAGTTCTTTGGCAATAACTCAATCGAGTAGGCCTGTAATAGCTACTGCCCCTTCCTCAAAAAAGAAATGATAATATTTGGACTCCAAAACTGGGTGTCTCTGTGTTCTATCACAACCCTAAAAGGAATTTCATCAAATACAATTTAATTTTAGATTGCATCCAATTAAAGTATTTCATAACATGCTCTATAGCCTTGTATGGAATAAATTGCTTGAATCGTTCTTACTCAACACTCACCTTCGTTTATCATTGAAAAAGTTTGGCTTATCAGCTTGAACAATGACAACATCGAAGAGATCTCTCCAGTCCTTGCCTACTATGAACCTCATGCCTTTGTCCCTAAAAAGAACAGAGGGATATTAACCGTGGGGCATAACAGCAGGGCAGTATCTATACAATATAACGAATCACATCAATATCTCATCCTCTTCCTCCTCCTTTACAGTCTTTAGCTGAACAGCAACTGTTCACTCACACAAAGCTGCTGGGACTGTTTGTGATGAGAAACATCTTCTTGCCGTGATCAGCCAGCTTTGCCAACACTGCCCGAGTCTGTTCCGCATAGCAGATGTATTTCTCTGTGGGGGTTGGGAAAAGAGAATATTAACAGCAGCAGCAGCTATTCAAGAGAATATTTTCCTGTGTACAGTCAACAGTTCAGAGCACTAGCTTATAACTTTAAAAGCGCACCTTAAACACAAAGAAATACCTCTTTCAAGGTTTAAAATTTAGAATTTGCAATCTTATATAAAGAAGCCATAGAGATCACTATACTACTGTGCAGAAAACAAACAAAAAACACCAATAAAAAAGCTGAGAGGTGATCTCATCGGTACTTACCAATATCTGCTTCAATTGCTCTGTACATTATTCCCTTGATGTGGACATCTCGGATTGAATCCTGTAAAGAAAGCAACAGAGCAGGAAAGAAATTTTTTAAAAAGCCAAACAAACAATCAAAAACTTTTCAATTATATAAACCATGCCCACCACATAATTATAGCAGTTTGCTTTTATAACAATTACTTTCTCTGGATTACACCTCTGGATTTAAAGAAACATAATACGCTATTAATTATGTAGACGTCACGACTAGACAAAGAGCAAGCTTATCCCCCAGGAAAATAACTTCAGGCTTTGGGGAGTACAGAACTCCGTAGCACAGGGAATGCCTTATGCAATGACTGCAAAAGAGCACAGAGGGGTGAAGTGGGGTGAAAGCCCTCAGCAAAAGCAGAGTCGTCACCGATTTCTCATGACCTTTGGAGCAAAACACCTTCTCTTCCTCTAGCAAAAGGAAAAAAAAAGTTTCCAGATCACGATCACTCCTAAATAACCTGACGCTTAAACAAGAAAGATTTATGAACAGATTAAAGAAGCTAAATGCTTAAGCAAAAGAACCACAGGAGCTCTCATTTGGCAGCTCTGCTAAGCTGGCTCTGCACCAGGCTCCTTTGTTTAAGACAGTCGTGCTGCCATTTTGGCACTTAAATAGGTTCAAGTCCTATGAATTCTCACCAAATCCCACCATGGGGCTTCCAAAACAGAGGTAATGCTGAGCAATTAGAAACACAGAAGCTTCTACAGAACTTCAGTAGAAACCACAAAAGCTAAAAGCTAAAGCTTTGAGAAGCCTTCTGACACTACACAAGTAGGCATGGAAAGAGCATTCAAGAGTTTATTGAGGCCTGACCTATTTGGGAAAGGGAGAAATTCAACCTTCAAGAGTATCACATAGACATAAAAAACATACACGTTTAAGAGATGTTAATAAGACACTGTGAAATGTGTTTTGAACAGAAAGTAGTGCAGACAGATACACCATTAAGGTACTTGGGCATGACCTTTCTGTCCTTAAATAACCATGACAATTTTATCCCCTCTGTAGGCTACATCCTTAGGAATCAAGAGGACAAAAATCCTCTCGTCACTATCATTTAACTTTTGAGGGAAGGAAGTGAGGGAAGCAGATGGAAGAGATACCAGAAGCAAAAGACAGTAAATGATTATATATTAGTGAAAATACACAGGTAGCAGGAGAAATGTTCATATTAGAACTCCCCACAGCCCCCTATATTTCCTGCTAGTAAGAAAAGTAGACCTAAAAATATCAAACAAGAGATGCTCCATCAACATGACAGCCTCTTCACTTTCCTCCCATTCCCTTCAAGTCTAAAAAAGAACAGTATCTCAGAACACATCAACTTTAAAGCAAATTTCCAAAGTACTCTGCCTTTTTTTCAAGGCGTGCCATTATTTTGTTTATGTTCCTATGGTTCAACAGGAATAATTCTATACAAAAACTAATGCTCAGATATCTGACTGAAGCTGACACAGCAGGTGGAGGCTTCCTAAAGTGCTCGTAGAGAAGATTCACAAATGTTTACCCAAACTTCCAAGTTAATACCTTGACATCTTTGTACAGATGAACAGGCTCATAGTCTATGTTGTTTTTCAGAAAATGTTCGTTTACACATGAGAGTAGTGTCATCTCTGGCAAGGAGAAGATATCCATGAATTGCTTCATTGTGTTTCCCTGGGAGCTCTACAGAGGGACAGGAAAGAAAGGGGGAAAAAAGAGAAAAAGCTCAGACATTTCTCAGGATTACAATACCTTTCTGTTTATTTAGTGAACTTAAATGAATGTTTGTTTATTTAATATTCGAACTTCTGCTAGTTTGCAGATATTCTGCTTCTGCCAACACTATTTTCATTGGCTCTGGACTCTGTTTGAACTAAACAGGCTTTCAATACAATAATGCCAAAAATACTTACCTTTATTTTAATATTTATCATTAAGATTTTTTAAAGCATATTAATTCATAAACAATGTAAAATCTAGCATTCGGCTAAAAGTCAATAAAAAGCTTGGGAGACCTCTTCATTGGGTATTAAAATGGTCAAGCTGAGGAGTATTTTTTGTTTGCTTTCTGAGTAAGTGAAATAATGACAAGGGCTGCAGAATATCTTGCCTCCTTGAACAAG